GTCCAGCCCTTATCCGTCACCTATTACCAAATTTAGTACCATTTAGTACTTTTTGTACAAATTAAGGACGTATTTATAAATCACTGCCAAATCTCAATACCAGATACCAACAGAGACCACAATATCAAATTTATGCCCTATCCCTTTACCCAAACCAAGTTTAGTACCATTTCGAACTTTTGGTACAATTATAGTACATATTTCCAAAACCAGCTCCTTCTTTCAACCACAGTCACCAACAGTGACATCCATATCAAATTTGAGGATTCCAGTCCTATCCCCTCGTCCAATACCAAATGTTGAACTATTTAGAACTTTTCGAACAATTATAACACACTTTGACAAAACCACCTTAATATCATAAACACTGTTGGTCATCTTTTTAAAATTTGGTACCATTTAGCGCTTTTTGTAAAAATAAAGGACGAATTTCGAAACCATTCCCAAATCTCAACCCCAGATACCAACAGAGACCACAATATCAAATTTAAGTATTAAAGTCCTATCCCAATACCTAGTTAAATACTATTCAGTAGTTTTCGTACAATTAAAGTACACTTGTATAAAACCTCCATACCCTGATCCCAGACACCAAATAAGACCTCAATATCAAATTATAGGACTTCAGCCCTATCCCTTCTAAGACCCAATCCCAAATTAATTACCAAGCTTTCCATACAATTATAATACGCATGTGGACATGCACCACCTCCTTCTTCCCACAATAGACACCAACATTGATCCAAAATTAGCTTCTTCTCTCAACCGTAGACACAAATCAGTGACAGGATTTCAGCCTATCCCTTCACCCAATACGAAATTTAGTACTTTGCGTACAATTATAGCACATGTGTCCAAAACCACCCCCCATTTTTGAATTTCGAATACCAATAGCGATCTCCATATTACTTTTCAGAATTTCAGCTCTATCCCTTCATCCAATACCAAATTTAGTAGTTTTTAGTACTTTTCGTACAATTGTAGTACACATTTCCAAAATCACTTCCATATCTCAATCTCAGATACCAAGAAAGACCTCAATATCACACTTAGAGATTCGAGACTTATCCCTTCACACAATACCAAATATAGTACCATTTAGTACTTTTCGTACAAATATAGGACGCATTTCCAATATCACCTCTATGTTTTAACCAAAGACACCAAGAGTGACATTTATTTCAAATTCAGGATTCCAGCTCTGTCCCTTAACCCAATACCCAATTTAGTACCACTTAGTACATTTAGTACAATAATTGAACACATATCCAAACCCTAATCCTTCTCTTAACCACAGACACAAACAGTGCCATATTATCAAATTTCAGGATTTTAGTCCTATTCATTCATTCAATACCAAAGGTAAAACTATTTAGTACTTTCAGTACATTTAACATACGCATTTTCCAAACAATCTTCATATCTCAACCTCAGACACCAACAGTAGCCCTAATATCAAATTTCACCTCTTTATTTTCCCACATTACAAAATTATGTACCGTTTAGAAAATTTTTGGTACACATTTCTAAAACCACCTCCATATCTCAATATCTCCCAGACTCCAATGCTTACCAAATGCTAAATTTAGTACCATTTTGTACTTTTCGTACAAATTCAAGGCTCATTTCAAAACCAGTTCCTTCTCTCAACCACAGTCACCAACACTAACATCCTCATATCGAATTTGAGGATTCCAGTCCTATCCCTTCACCAATGCCAAACTTAGTACCATTTAGTACTTTTCGTACAACCAACAGTTATCCAAATATCAAAGTTTCAGAATTTTATTTCTATCCCTTCTACCAAGACCAATTTTGCTACCACTTAATATTTCATACATTTGTGTTCTATCAATTCTAAAAAAGCCTTCATATCTCAATCCCAGATACCAACAGAGTCCTACTAACAAATTTCGGGATTCCACTTATATCCCTTCCCCCAATTAGGTACAATTCAGAACTTTTCGTACTCATTTCCAAAACAACCTTCTTTTCTCAACGACAGGCACCAACAGTGACATCTATAACGAAGATCATGTTTTCAGCCCTATCCCTTCACACAATACTAAATTTAGTATCATTTAGTAGATTCTGTTTAATTCCATTAGTACTTTCCGTTTAATTATAGTATACATTTTCGAAGCAACCTCCAAATCTCAATTCCATATACCATTTGTTTTTTCAAATATCAAAATTAAGGATTCCAGCTCAATTTTTTCACCTAATACAAAATTTAGTACTATTCAGTACTTTCCGTAAAATTATAGTACACACTTCCAGGCTACTCATTAACAGCGACCCTAAACTGCAAGCTATATATACTCTCCCAATACCAAATTGTTGTTTTTACCTTTTAG